TCGTCGTCTCGTCGAGAGAGAGAGAGAGAGAGAGAGAGAGAGAGAGACATTTGATGTCTCGACGAGAAAAATCAAAGAGGGGCAGCGGCGAGAGAAAGAACAGCGGCCTTTTATCGCGAGCGCGAATGAGCCGGGAAATTAAAGATTGCAAAAGGAAAGCAACACAAAACCGTTTTCGCGTTTTACGGTTTGATAAAACTGCCGCGAGGGTGTGGGTAAAAGGTGGTAAAAGGTCTCGTATTTAATACCCAAACAATCTCCTCCCTTTTCCGCGAAAAATAATCTTTGTTTCCCGATAAACGTTTTCCAATTACCCGCTCGCTTCCCCCCCCGGATTATTTCGCCCGGATTGGACGAGAGAGAGTCCGATTGATCGCGGCCGAGAACGCGATATCTTTCTCCCGTAGTTTACTTAATTAATTCCCGTAATACGAGTTAATCAACTCGACCATGACCGTGTATCGTAAATATTTTAACGAGCGATACGAATCCTAATATTATACTTACTATATATATAACGCATACACTAGCGAAAATGTACACACACATATATATATATACGTATATCAAAAATTGCTCGATTCGATCTCGAAATCGCTCCAAGCCTCGGATTAAAATTCCAAATCGCGATTCGTGTCCTATCCCGATATCGGGGCCAAGACGCGTTTATCATTCATCATCGCGGGGGGGTTCTCGTTGGATGCATCTTGTGGACGGATGCGTGGACGAGGAGAAGCAATTAGGCGAATTCGGACGAGGAGAAACGAGGGCGAGAACTTTTGCTCGGAACGAGCGTTAACTCCGGCGTTCACAAACACCGATACGGTGAAACGTATCGCGCGATGTCAGCGGGGAATCGAGGATACAGAGTAGAAGAAGGAGTAACGGTCAGAAAGTTGTGTTCCCCGATAGATAGCGGAGAGAAAGGCAATTAAACGGTTAAAAGGTAAAAGGTAAAGATAATTAAAAGTTGAAGATACCGTATGGCATGAGGGAAAATTAACGTAGTCACGCCGCATATGCATAGGCCTATTCTAATTTTCCCTAGCCAACCCTTCCGCCCGTGCATTTTTTCCATCAGGCTTAATTTGAATAGAGAGAAGGACGCTTGCTTTCGGGGGATCCACTTTCGACCCGCTCTCCTTCCTCTCTCTCTCTCTCTCTCTCTCTCTTTTGTTGCTTTCTTTCTTTCCATTTCTCATTTTCGCCTCGAAAATCCTGCTCGATGCGCTCCTCGATCGTACATATCTCTCCCTCTCTCTCCCCCTTACGGGACGCGAAAAATGCCACGTCATTTTTTTAAGGTCACCTTTCAACGATCGCACGTGCTATTGTCACTGTGTACCGTTTCTGATCCGAGATAAGTAATCTTGCTTTATGCGCGATGTTTGCTCAAAACCTTGTTGATAGATTCGTATAAAGTACGAACGACTGTCTATTTCGACCGACTTTTTAAAATAATACGTTTCTCTCTCTCTCTCTCTCTCTCTTCCTTTTTCCGCTCGCTGTTCTCGTGCAATTCTTTTTCTCGGAATTCGTTCCCGATAAACGAGCGAATCGACGATATT